CACTTCTGTACCGGAAACAAATTCCTTGCGTGTAACATACTTGGCCAAATAAAGGTGATTATTATTATTATTATTATGTTGGTGAAGTTGTTGCAACTCTGCCTGTTTGAGCAGCTGTTTGAGGAGACGCTCCTATGGGTCGAATGAGAGGAAAGGGACAAATTACCATATGGGTCATATCGGTTGGAGGAGGAGTTGTATGCTGGAGCTCAAAAAGACAATAAATGCATAAGTAAGCAGAAGGTAAACTGAGATATTTTTCAAATGATATCAAATTACATATTTTTTCTGTGTACCTATCAGTAATGTACTAAAATACACTCAAGTGTTATTAGAATACATTTTATGACAAGCTGACAAAGACAAACTGCACTACAAGCTTAATTACCCAAAACCCATTCTGAAATGACAGGTCTCCAAAAAGCAAGCAGGCTGATAAACAGAAGCTGGTGATTATGGAAAATTATTGGTGACTTGCGATTTGACATGAAATACTGATTTAAAGTTATTTACAAGCTTTTACCAGCAAGTAGGAATATAACAGAGACTCTTGGGTGTTATGTGGGTTAGTCCAGAAAGCCAAGCCTTGATCCCAGCAGTCCTGTCACAAAATAAACCTCAGACTGTGACTCTCTCTTCCCCTCACATGGTTTAATGTTGTTACCGTTTACAGACAAAACTTAAAAACAACCTCCATCTCTATTCCTGCCTCACAACACCTGGGGCCAAATGTATAAATGATGCGTACACACAAAAACTATGCGTATGCCTTTTCCCACACATAAACTGGTATGTATAAAAACAGAATGTGTGCACCTCATGGGTACTTCTGACCATGCATACACCCGGACTGAGTAGGTGTGAAAGTGAAGTAAAAAATAAGTTTTAATATGAACTTAAGCAATGTTGTAGAGCCAAAATTTCTCCAGAACAATTTGAGAGACTCATGAAGTCCTACAGAAAACATTTACATCAAGTTATACTAAAGGTGGTTTCAGCTGTTACTGAATTATATGGGCTACTTTTATTTTCCCACCCGGTTTCTGAATGATGGTTTACTTTTGGGAAACACTGACCACATATTGAAATCTGAGGTTATTTTATTTGTATATAGAAGTTGGTGAGGTCCACACAATTGTTTTTTAGCCCCTGATGAATGGGGGTGTACTTTTTTTTTACTATGACTGTAAAAACAAGGACTGGAGGTGGAGAAACTGGTAACTGGTATGAATCCTGTGTGACTGAGACTGAAGCCTTTTGCACCTTGATTCTGTCAGTGGTACAGTACAAATGCTGAAAAGATGGTTGAAAACTTGGATTCTTTTATTTTAAAAAAGGAGGGGGCATATCCTTACAAATGCTTAAGAAATTCATAGCCAGACTCCTTTGCGCTGTCTTCTGTTTTTTCAACCATCTGAGGACAGAAATTACTCCAGCAACAGATGTGCCCATAACTATTTGTGAACTATTTTGTGTTTTATTTGAGCATTATTGTCTTAGCTTTAATCTGTCAAAAATGAAAACAGGAAATCAGGGCCGTACAGCTTCAGTGTCGTACATTTTCACACCTAATCACAAAAGCACACAGGTTCAGACTGTTTTGGTCCAGATATTTAATCTCACTAAATAGCTTTTTTTTTTCATTAGTTTGTTGAGTGTACACCAATAATCTGTTGATCATGTTTTCTTTTCGTCTTGTTTCACTCAGAGCCAAGAAGAAGACCAAGCCCTTGAACCTTAAGATCCACAGCAGCGTGGGCAGCTGTGAGAATCTGCCCACGCAGCGCTCGCCCCTTCACAATGAGCGATCTCTGCGATCCTTCTTCTTCCCCTCCTTCATCCCCTCCACGCCTCCTGTCCATGCTGAAACACCCTCTGCAAGTAAGTGATCTCTTTTTTTGTTGTTAATGAGCTCACACTCGAGCATTTATGAAATGAGTTTTTTGATGCCTTTAATATATCTTTTTCAGATTCTAGCTCCTCTGACATCTGCTTATGTAGTTCTCAGACAGTGTCTCGTTTCTGGGACGTCATGTGTTGTGATTGTTCCTAGCTTTGCAACAGTTGTCTAATATTAGTTTTCAACTTTGTAGCATTGACTTGCCTTGACATCTGCACATAACCAAACTAAGTTCTCCACTTCACTGGTTCTATTAGGCAGATTGTAGCTGAAAGAATTCAAAAGAGATGTTTAATTCTCAGCACAGGCTTTATTTTGAGCTCAGTTCCAATACAATACAACAGGAGATCATATGCACTGGACTTGGAAACACAATGATTATTCCTATTTTATAACCTTCTTATCCTAAGTAATGCATCTCATCCTCATTTCTCATCAGTGTGGACATTACACAGTTGATCTTACATAGGAACATGGAGGCTAACTGTGTGTCCCCTCTCATCCTAAAGCCTATGCTCACATCTGTTTCTGCTTAAACGTCTCATGTGATACTGCTGTCCCATACATTTAGCTGACAGATAACATCAATCACAGCCACTGTTGCAATGACAACAATTTGCCCCAGGACTAAATGTCCTCATGAGGAGAGAGATGTTTTGGTCTGACAAGCCAAATTTCATCTTTTCCTTTGACTGAACCACTAGCAGTACAATGTAAAGGATAAAAAAAAGGGACAATCAAAGGTATTAGAAAATCAGCAAACATCCACACTAATAAACATGAGCTCCTATAATCATTCTTAACACCTCAATTTGTTTTACTAAAAACACACTTAAGTACAGCCCTGTTGGAAAATGCCACAAATGAACAATCAGGCCATGCCATAATGACCAGACGTGGTGTGTGGCCGCACCCTGTCAGACTTATTAGCTGATGCATTAACGGCATAGTGTGGAAGTCATTAGACTCAGGAGGAAATTGGGAAAGGCAGAGAAATAGGAAATAACTGAGGTAGTGTCAAGAAAGGATTGATGAATGGTCGTCACTTAGTGTTGTGACTAGTTGTAGACCTTGAGTAACTGCTGTGTGAGGCCCGGAGGGGCATATCTGTCAGCAGAGGCACGTCATGGAATAATCACACACCATATGCATGAGAGGACAGAGAAACAAGGATGTACTTGATTGAAAAAAATGCAGCTGTTGAGATTTTTTAAAAAGCTTCCCTGCAGAGATCAAGTTGAACTCATGCATGTGTATTAAGAGTAAGTGAACCGTTACACTGTGGAAGGTTGAGTTTTCAGCACCACTTTATAGTAAGGTTGTAATAAGGTACTCTGCACAGAGGGTTCATATGTATTAATAAATGTCATTATCAGTAGTTAATCATTTATTTACTAGTGCTTTATAGAGCAAAACCACAGCTCAAAGTAGCTGTTTCATCTGGGATCTTCTGGAAAAGTGTAGCAAAAATATACCACAAATGTTTTTGTTAACAGATTATTAATAGTTACAATTTGTGACTTGATGGATTGTAAAAAGACCCTTAATTTATTAACGTTTATAATAACCAAAGACCTGCTTTTTTTCTGTTGGACTTGATGTTAATTACCGTTTAACATTTACAACTGCAGATTCTGTAGTCAATAACCTTTGAGTGCATTGATTATTAATGATCCATCAGCCAGAGAGGTTTCTCACAATTTGACAACCCAAACGATTTTCTAAATAATGGTGTATAGCTGACCTTTAAAGCATGAGCACATTATTTTTAACCGCTTAAGAATCATTACTTACTCTTACAGACTCTAATAAAAGGTGGTTTGTTATTAGGTTTGTTACTGTACTTGAGCCATAAGATGCCCTTCCACCAGGCTGAACAGTCGATTTGGGAAGAAGTGATTGTAGTTCCTTTATGTTCTGAAGGTTTGATGACACATTTGTGCTTCTCACCATAGTTTATGATGCCTGGTATTCATACCAACACTATGGCTTTCAAGGCAAAAAGAACTGCTGTCAGATTTCAAATTCAGTTTTTTAAAATTGTCACTGAAGTTTGTTTGCTTCACCTGATTTGGGTTGCATTTTGACTTAGAGTGTCTCTGAAGTGTCTCATAAGAGCTATTTTGTGTGCATCTCAGTCGAAACAAACCAAGCCGGCGCCATGAACTGCGCTGCTAATGTCACAGTTGTCACAGTTGTTGTTGAGTCGGAAAGGCATCTTGACATTTTCATGAAGGTCGTTTATCACCTGCTAAAGTCAGAGTCACTCTTTTGCCTGTTAACCAAATGTCACAGTATAGACAAGATGTGGATTGGTCCCGCACCTTCACGTCTTGGTTTCATGTATAAAATGTGGTGTTCTGAGAGGAAAATGTGGATCCTACGCTGCTGGATTTGACCTGAAGGTAGGTCAGCACAGTTCACATCTTCAGCAACATGATGCATAGACAGACGTACATAAACAACACTGTATGCTTGGACATTAGAATTCACCACTTTTTTATGTGGAAATGTTTTACTCTCCTTTAAGCATCAGGTACAGATAGAAAGTCTGGTGTGTAAATCTAAATGTTAAACATTTAAAGCCATGATATTTGATCACAAAGCTGTAAATAATGATCACAAGCCTACAGTCATTCCCAATCAAGCCATCTCCCAAGTCTCCACCTGTACATGTGTGGGAGCGCGTACTGACAACCCACTGAGCTGGAGCGTCCAAGTTAACAGCGTCTGCTCCAGGCTATAGGAGAGATAGTTCTTCTTACGTAGATGGAGAGTTTCAGGAGTTAGAGGAAGTGCATGTTGCTTTTTTTAATCCTGCTGTACTAGAAAGTTTTGTTGGACACAGTGAGGATCACAGCTTGGTTTGGAAACCTCCCTGTATTCCTAAAATTCAAGATCAGCCATCCGCTGTAGACAGCTCTGAAGGTTGGAGGAGTCGTACCTGTTCATAGGCTCCTCCAGGCTTTCTGGGAGGATTCAGTGGGCACACTTCTTATTCATGTGATTTCTCTTTGTGTGTTCCATTTGCTTTGACAATATTAATGCGTTAATAATAGATTTTTTGGAATTAGAGAAAGAAAATGCAATGATATATCTGGAGAGTACTTGTCTGAATAGAGCTTAGCACTATAACAATAGAAGAAATTTTGTTCACTGTACTTGTAGTTGATTGGATAAAGATAAAATGAAAAGCTGTTTTTCCTGTGGACCTGCTCAGTTGCAATGTAAGTCTCCATGTCTTATTTTTAGGAATGGCATACGTGTCTGTTTCTGTGCGAATGCTCATGTGCGTGTATAGACAGGCATGTGTGTGTGCCCGGTCAGCCAAGCTAAACATCCGTTCTGAGTCTATGTTTAGGATTACGATATCACTGCCATCTCACTTCAGGATCCTTCGGCCAACAGCTTTAACACTGTGTAGTCACTGGAATCAAAAGACATGGAGGAGCCACAAGACTGGCCGTGGTGACCAAACACGGTCTGCTCGGGATGAGTCAGTGCCCAGTCAAAGCTGAAACGTCAGTGCCTTCCCAGGAGTTTGTTTGGCTTTTAAAATATGTGTACTGTTTGTGATAGTCTGGTTATGATGTGATACATTGCATAAAGAATTCACACCATTGTACCTTTGCTCAGGTGATCTCGGATGTGCACAGTGGTTGGGTTTTGGAGGGAGGATGCAGATGGCTGATACTGGGAGCTGATGTTCAGTCTATATATAAGATAAGGTTGGCATTGTTGTCTGACATCTCTCTGGCCTTGTCAAAAACCTCTCCTATATTCACTCATCAACTTCTCCCAGTGTATCAAAACACTTTAGAATGAGCAGTAAATTGAGATTTCAGGCAGTTATTGTATAAATCATTGTCATTTTGTGTCATCATCAGTGACAGGTGTAGTGTACGGGATATGGACTCTGCTATTTCTTTTCCATTATGGGAATTTTTGCAGATAGTATATGATGCATAAATGTCACACAGCTCCAATATGTGTCCCACTAAGCCATGCAATTGGGCTAACTTGCACAACAGCAGGACCCTAGAGGTGTCTCACCCAATTATTGATGTCATTTATTACAGCTGTGCTTTAATGACATACCAGAATGTCTGCTGTGAGCAAGGTCTATTAGTAGATAAAGTCCTGTGACCTCACATTATCACAAGCAGAGCTCTGATGAGCCAAAAACACCACCTGTGAGGGTGGATGTGGCCTTTAATTTTACCTCTTTATCTCTTTGCTTAGTAGCCTGCATTTACTCTGATTCTAGGCTCATAAAAGGAATTCAGGAAAGAAAGGCTTTTAACCTGGACCATGAAATGAACGAACAGGGTCTCGCCTGCAAAAAGGGAAGTGATTTCATGCACATACAAGCTAAAGTCTAGAGACAATGGACATTTGAGTGGCTGTGGACTGGACTTGCGTCAGTATTTTGCTTATATTTATGTAGCCACAATAGAAGTTTTAAAAACTAATTTTACTTTTTCCAAACAAGGACAACATCCTGTTGTTTTTGTTGTTCTCCCTCATGGTCAACTTTGAATGATAAATATTCCGATTCAGTGTTTTTTTCTTTTGCTCCAGGTGTTATGACAAATAATTGTTTGTCCAGTGTGAACAGTTATGGTGGCCACAGAGAGACATTTTCCATGGACGGCTCACCTCTAGTGCCTCAGGCTTTCTGAGCTTACACACCCCAACTTGTGATGATGTCTTATGTTCATTTGCGGTACCAATCCTGGGATTCAATCGACACACACACCTGCAGCAAAACCGCTGTGTGTGTGAGAGAGAGAAAGATGGAGAAAGAGAGTGTGTGTGGGAGTCTGAGTGTGTGCTTGTGGATCTAAATAACTTACAGTAAATGTTCTTCATTTTCTCTATGCACAACATGCATTGTTAATTTCTGCACATGTTCTGATGACATCATCCACTCTCCCTAACCTCCCATAGATGCCCTGCAGTTGCGTCACAGATACCCTAG